TCCCTCCTCCCTCCTCCCTCCTCCCTCCTTTCTTCTTTCTTCTTTTTTCATGCTAAGGCCCAGGTAAACTAAGCACACTTTCTGTCCTTGAGCCACACCCAGTGCTAACTGCTGCCTTGGAGACCAGTATGGTCCTCTGTGCAAAAGATCCTGTCCTGGCAGCTTCCCATGGGTTTTCTCTTTCTCCCTGGTCCTTCCATTCATCAAGGCCTTATTTCTTGAAGCCTGGAGAGTCTGTAAATCTTACCACCTTCTACAAGCATGGAAAGGCTGGTGGCTCCAACCCTTAAAAGACCCGCAAGTTCTGGTGAGAGTTCTAACAAGAGTGTCTTAGTCATCCATTCCTTAGACATTTTGATGTGGCTGTGGCTGTTGCGGGTCTGTGCTAATCGTAGGAAAGATAGAGCAGTAAAGCCCTGAGCAGTATCTTTCCAGAGTTCGCCATGTTACAGGGTTTGGGGGCCTGGCTTTCCCTCCTAAGGCTGGTTTCCAGGGTCTTTCTGTCCTGCACACAGAATTTGTCAAGACAAGTGCAAAAAGTAGCAAGGTATTACATTTATTAAAGGTAGAAAAAGAAACTGGCTCTGCAGAGTAAGTTCGGGTCAAAACGAAGTAGGAGAAAGGATACACTGTACAGCATGAATATAGTAGCAGTGGCTCAGTGATGACTGTCTCTTGTATCTTTTGTATCTTCCACTCCTTGGGTTGATGTCAGGTCTAGGGTATCTTGCTGAAAACCTACTGGAGCTTTCCCTAGAAGTCCATGTGCAGGGCTTTGAGAAATGATCTGCCTGTGTCCTAGGATCCTGTCACTAACAGGACACGTCTACTTCCCCAGCCAGTTTTGCTACACTCAAGTCTCCTGCCTTCATAGACTACTGAGTACAGAGTTGAGCAATAATACAGATAACTTAGGGGGCCATAGATGTAACTCAGTGGTAGAGTTCTTGTATGGTGCTGTGCCAGGTTATAGGTTCAATCCCCATTACTACCATAAAAAAGTAAAAATAATATAGGTACTTTTTTAGCTATCGCTTCTCAAAAAGAATGAGAGTCACCTGGGAAATGTATTGCTCTATAGTTGAGAATGAGTGCTTTTAGCAAAGTAGCACTTTATCTGGATCAGTAGCACATGGAGTAGGTAGTTCTTGGAGGCCCACATCTGGGGCATACTAAGACTAGGGATTAGTGTTTCTCTCCTGGCTCTGAGGTCAGACCTGTGCCTTTCATCTAGGAGTCTGTGTCTGCTCTCTTCTTCCCATACATATTCCTTTCAGGAGGGTCACGCAGCACAATGCCAGCTCTGCCCCTGGATCAACTCCAGATCACCCACAAGGACCCGAAGACAGGAAAGCAGAGGACTTCACCAGCCCTGGTGAGCAGAGGCCTTAAGGCCATTCAGCCTGATTATTATCAGTATTACAATTTCAGAGACAAAAAGTAAACTCCTTCCTTATCTGTTCCAAGAATGACCCAAGGGCTATAGTTAATAATTCAGAAGCTGAGACACTACTAGATCCTTCTAAGCCATTGTTTCCTTCTGAGCAGCAGCCCAAGTTTGAGTAGCACTTTCTGTGTCACTACTCCATCCCCCTACTCACATTCAATACACTTAATTTCCACACATTTTGATGACAATTCTAATGTTGCCCAAGCTGGGCTAGAAAGAGATCCAACCTAAAGCCATGTTTGAGTACTAGACCCTGAAGAGGTGTTCAGGTTTCAGATAGGACTTCTTCAGAGCTATCTGAAAAAAGGAAAACAGGTACAGTCTACAGTGGGAGTATTCTATCTTTAGAAAGGCACTCTAAAAAAAAGAAAGAAAGAAAGAAAGAAAGAAAGAAAGAAAGAAAGAAAGAAAGAAAGACACTCAACTCTACAGTGGCTTTCCACATCTCGGTGAGAACACGCATTTCAGAGGTTGGGCTACCTTATCTTACTGGGGATAAGAAGTGTCATATACAGAGACTCTATTTGGGTTTATGAGACTGGAAACTAAGGAGGCTGTGAACCTGCCAGTTTCCAGGGAGAGGGAGAGATTAGAGCCATGGAGATGTGCCAGTCTACTAAAGGAGCCAGATATAGGGACTGAGTCCCGTACCCATGTGTTGGTTTCCCAAGAATATGAGTTTACATTAAGAAGGTGAGAGGAAGTGTTTTCTAGGGTCTTGAGTAAAGTCATGAGAAACAAGTCTGATTTTTTTTTTGCCTGCCTTTTGCATGGCTTCTTATTACTTGCTAAACAGTCTGTAATATTAGTACCAACCATTTATAGAGTACTTACTCTGGGCCAGACCATTCTAAGCACCTCACCTGGATTATGTCATTTAAGTTACATCATAGCCCTATGAATGGGTATTTTGCTTATCTCTATTTTACAGATGAGGAAACTGACTCTAGGGTCACAGAACTAGGAAATTAGGAGAGCTAAGATGGGAAGCCAGTCAGGCTAATCCAAGAACCTCAAATCCTTAACATTTGAGCTTAAAGCTTCTTGTTTTGTTTTCATAACCTCCTATATATGGAGGATTTTTTTTTTTTTTTTTTTGGTCTTTTTGAGATGGGGTCTCACTTTGCAGTTCAGGCTGGCCTTGAGCTCAGTTTGTGGCCTAGGCTGGTCTCAAACTCACTATAATCAGAAGATATTTATCAGAAAATGCAGGACTATACCGTTCAGATATGTAGTCATCCAGTAGGTAGCTCTTTGCCACATGTCACTATTGAGTACTTGTAATGTGTCTAGTGTTTGAAATGTGGACTGAAGAACTGGATTATAAATTAAGTGAAAAATAGCACTTTGTGATGAGTGCCTACTACACTGGCCAACCAGATAATAGAGATGTGATTCTGTTATCAGAAAGTTCTGCTGGACAGTGTCAGTGGAGACTGGCTTCTTTGTTGAGTCTAGTTTTGTACTTCAGTGCTTCCCTGTGTACTGAGTGAACCCCTGGGATTGTAAATTGTGGACCCTAAGAGAGCAAAGCTTTGGGCCTTCTCGTCACTCCTAGCTTCTCAGTGCCAGACTCGTAGTAGACTCTCAGGAAATATTGAGTAAATAAATTAGAGATGACAAGCAGCCCTTGGGCCAGCTGCTGGAGCTGCAGAGAGAAAAGATTTGTCCCTGCCTGTGTGGGGCCCCATAGTCTAAGGGGAAAACACACCAGTAGCTTTGATAGTGTGATCAGGATTGTGATAGAAAGATAGCCAGGCTGTGACGTGAGCAGAGCTTGGCCACCGATCCAGGCCAGGGAGGTGGTAGTGGGTGGACTAGTGAGAGGATACCTGTACTCAGAAAAGGCTTCCTGGGGGAGGGTGAATAAGCAGCAGCCAGGCTGAGCAGTGGGAGAAGCGAGAATGTGGCTGAAGGACCTGACTCTTACAACAGCCACCAGTTACTGAAGGTGGCAGCAGCATCGCAGAGCTAAGGAGCATGGGCTTTGCATTCATTTCAGACATATGTGGCAAGGTACTTACCTCTTTAAGTTTCAGCGTCCCAAAAAGTAACAGTAGGCCAAACTTGGTAGGGTGGTTGTGAGGATGAAATTAAAAGTCTGTGAATTAGCACAGTACCTGGAATATAGTGAGCACATAATAAATTGCAGTTACGATGGTGATGACAGTAGTCATAGTGATAGCAGCATTAAATGGGGTTAGTGAAGCAAGAAGAGTGACTGAGGGAAACAGCTGTCTGATGGAGGAAGGGTCTTGTTGGCCATACCAAAGAACATCATCCTGCAGGTTAAGGATGCTCCTGGAAGAGTGTTTTTGCTCTTGTTTTTTGTCCTTTTGAGACAGAGTCTCACTATGCAGTTCAGGCTGGCCCCTTGAACTTGCTTTGTAGCCAAGGCTGGTCTTGAGCTCACAGCAATTCTTCTGCCTGAGCCTCCTGCGTGCTGGGATTACAGGGGTGCGCCACCATCCCTGGTGGGAAGAGTGCTTTGACACCCCATATGTGTGTCTTGAGTTTCAACTGGAGGCATAAAGATCTCTGGCTAAGGGGCAATTACCACAATGCCTTTTCAGGGTGAGAGGTGCAAGTAGAGCTTAAAGAACAGTACAAACAGTCTCCTAGCAAGATCCTCAGAAGTTTGCTGAGCAGTGACATTCTCATAGCTTCTCGGAGCAGATAGGACCTGTCTTAGTTACTTTTCTTGCCACTAGGACAAAATACCTGATACCCATGATTAAAGAAGAAAAAGTTTATTTTGGTTCACATTTTAGGTTGGTTTGTTTGTTTGTACAAGAAACTCAGGACCTGAGCTAAATCCCCAGTTACATTTTATATTTTTGTTTCTTTGTTTTTATCTTTTTGAGACAGGGTTTCACTATGCAGTTCAGACTGGCCTTGAACTTACTTTGTACCCAAATCTGGCCTCAAATTTGTAGCAATACACTTGCCTCAGTCTCCTGAGTGCTGGGATTACAAGTATGTGCCACCACACCCAGCTACATAATTATAAAGCTTACTATATAATTGAGTATAGTGTCTGTATAGACTCATAAAACAATCACCACAATTAAGACAGTTCTGTGTTCCCCAGAAGTCTCCTTGTGTCCATCTATAATCCATCCCTTTCCTTCTCAATGCCCACAGCAAACACTAAGCTAAAAGACTTTTTTTGGTAGAAGGGTACTGGGTATGTAGCTCAGCATAAGTACCTGCCAAGCAAGTACAAGTCCTGAGTGATTCCAGGTACCAAAAACAAGAATGGTACTGAGGATTTAACCCAGGGCCTCTGAACTAAACTGTAGTTCCAGTCCATTGTAAAGTGGTTTTTTTTGTTTGTTTATTTTTTGGGGGGTAGGGTACTGGGACTCTAACTCAGAACCTCATACTCGCCAGGCAGGCACTATACCACTGAACTATGAACTAAATTTCTGGCTCCTGTAAAGATTTTATTTTGAGAGAGAGTTTCACTAAGTCATTAAGTTGCTTAGACTGGGTTTCACCTTGTGATCCTTCTGTCTCAGTCTTCCACAGTGGTGCAATTATAGACATATACCACCACTCCCAACCTAAAAGCACTTTTTTTTTTTTTTTTAATGGAACCAGGGCTTGAACTGGCTTGCCAGGCAAGCGTAAAAGCACCTTTGCTATAGTTTAACTGGTGCCACATTCAAGTGAGCAGAGTACAAGTGTTGGGGAAGAGCTCAGGTGAACTTCTAATTCAGAGAGGTGGGAGTCATAGAAGTTTCCTGAAGGGAGTGAGGTGAGAGCTAGACTCAAGGGCAAGCACAGAGCCCAGGACAGATGTGGGTATCAGAGGTCTGCAGCACAAGTTTGGCATCAAATCCTACCTTAGTTGCCTCCTTAACCTCATGATCTTGAACCTTATTTGTTTCCTTCTCTGTAAATGGGGAGAATTCTATCTTCCTTTTAACTAGTCATAGATTTAAAAAAAAAAAAAAAAGAAAGAAAGAAATAGGCAGTGGAACGTGCCTACTCAGCTGTAGTACAGGCGGGTCCTCAGGAAGTGCTGGTTTTCATTTTTATTGTTCCACCACCCTCCAAATCCATTTCTCAGTGCCTGATGCAGCCTGTGTACTTTTTTATGGCCCATTTTTATGCCTCCATAAAATGCTGTTCCTTCCACTTAAAAAGCCTTGTCTTTCTCTGAGGCTCAGCTCAGATGCTGACCACCCTAAGAAGCCATGCTTTGTCTTACAGGCGCTGCTAATTCTCCCTCGTGCATGGCTGCTTCAGATTTGAGCTATCCTGTCCTTTTGTAAGGAGTTCTCTTGGTGGCTTAGATATGCACCAAGTATGGACCCTGCAAGAATCTGGGTGCTTTTGTACATATGTGGTCCCCCAGCACAGTGGAAGTCAAGTAAATGTTAGGGAAATAAATGTTCACAGGGAAGGTCAGATCTCAGGGCATGTGTGCATAACTGTGTGTGTTAGAGAAATGAGTAGCCAGCCTGAGAGATGTGATTTGAGAGGGGAAGAGAAGTATCAACAGGGTGAGGAGAGAAATTTGAAAGCCAAGAAGATGAATTTAAATTAAATTGTTTTGAATGTACTTCAATCCATATACTTCCTGTTTCAATGAATTTGTACCTAGGACATGCCCCATGTAAATCACATAAATAGGAAGGGATCTATTGGATCCAGATGTGAGGTGGTCCTAAGGAATCCTTGTGGAACACAAGGACTCTGCAGTTTGTAAAATTCCACCGGGCAGTAGGAGGCTAAAGACCTATCTTGATTGTTCTGTATCCCTGGGCTAACAGCTCTGAGGGTGGGGGCACTGGCTGATAACAGCTGAGCTGTTACCTGGCCTTTTTGCTATTACCACTTCTGCCAGAGAAAGCCACGCTCATGCAGTCTGGGAGAAAACTGACCCCATCGTCTCCTCTTTATGGTGAACAAAGTAAGGTCTGTTCCTAGCATGGTAAGTGCTGGAAGAGGGAACTTGTGACTCCAAGCTGAGAACTACAGCTACTTGATTGGAATCTTCTTTTATAAAATGACTGAGGTTTGTTTTTCTGGGCATTAATGAAACAGTGATATGTATAGTATAATGCTATTTGTATCAGGAGGAAGAAACAGACACAGATACTTCATATGGCTGTATTTTCATATAAATGCCTACCGACAGGCTGCCAGGACACCAGGCAAGTGAAGAGTGGTCTCTGGGAGATAACGGAGATTGGAAGCTTGCCCCAGGTGACTCACCACCTCTGTGGCATTGTTTTATTTTTTTGAGTTTTTGGTTTTTGATGCTGGGCATCAAACTGAGGACTTTATACCTGATCCACCACTGAGCCACACCCAGCTCACTTTGTAATCTTTTGAAAGAGAAGATGCTTATGACTCACTTCTTGTCTTCTTTCTTTTTTCTTTTTCTTTTTTCTTTTTTTTTTTTTTTTTGTGTGTGTGTGTATGTGTGGTACAGAAGACCTTTGCACGAAGTTATACACCCAATTTTTTCTTGAGACGGGGTCTAAGTCATTGAATCTCTCAGGCTGAGACTGACCTTGTGGTCCCCCTGCCTCAGCCTCCCAGAGTACTTGGAATTACAGGCCTGTACCACCACTCCCAGCTTCTAATTTATACAATTGAAAATCAGTTTTAAAATATTACATGTTCATTATTTAAAACTTGGAAACTATATTCAAGCCACAGTTTCCTTTGCTGCCCCCACTCCCAGAGATATCCAGGATTAACTTTGGGATTTCATTCCCCTACTTTGTTTTTTAAAAATCCATACCTGTGTCTGAATATATGTACTTTTTTTAAACTTCAAAACTGATTATATTAAATACAGTTTTGTATCCTGCTTTTTCTTCCCTTAACCTTTTCCTGTGCCATCAAATACTCTCCAAAAACATGGTTTTTTAAACTGCCCTGTGTTCCCCAGGTACAACCATGCCCCCTTTGTTAAATACACTTGGTTCTTTATGCTTAAAAACTCCTTGGAGGGTCACCAGTTAGAACAGCCAAGTGTTGTCATTGCTGTGGGTTGGCAAATGGGCCCTCGCTGACTAACTTCTGCCACGTTAACACGTGGTTTTTGGATCCGTAGCACCCCGAGCAGAAGGCAGACCGGTATTTTGTGTTATACAAACCACCCCCTAAAGACAACATTCCCGCCCTAGTGGAGGAGTACCTGGAACGCGCCACCTTCGTAGCCAATGACCTCGACTGGCTCCTGGCCTTGCCTCACGATAAATTCTGGTGCCAGGTAACATTCTATCAAAATTAACACTAAGACAAAGCACATGATGTGCCCTTGGTTGATTGCTGTTGTTGTTTTTCTTCCCCTAAGAGGTTTGGTTTTTTGGGGGGTTTTTGGGTTTTTTTTTGTCTACTTCTTACACTGGATCCTTAACAGCAAATTGTGGTTTGGATTGTTGACTTATATCACAATCTTGGTGATATTAACACACCTTTCAAAGTGCCATTTTTTAGAAACTTGTGTTTAGCCCTCGGCTCATTCATACTTCTTTGGTTCCTTGGGGTTGGAGTATTGGCAATAGGCCAGGGTCCACCAGCAGGCCCTTGGACTTAAAGGATAAATCCTCTGTGTCCTCTGTTGCCTGGCTTAGGTAATCTTTGATGAGACCCTGCAAAAGTGCCTGGACTCATATCTGCGATATGTCCCCCGTAAGTTCGACGAGTGGGTGGCCCCGACCCCTGAGGTTGCTGAAATGCAGAAGCGCCTACATCGGAGTATTTTCCTCACCTTCCTCCGCATGTCCACACACAAGGAATCCAAAGTAAGCCTCTGATCCCGTGACTGGTCACCACCTGACACTGGACACCTTGGTGCTGATTCTCTGCCCCTGGGAAGGAAGGCTCTGGAAGCATCAAGTTTCCTCTTTGTCTTTCCTGCACCTTTATTCCCACCATTGGGGAAGAAATCTGTGCCACATCCTTATCCTCCACTTCACTAGGCCTTTGACACCCAGTGTTTTCATCAATGGAAGCCGAGGGCCCCTTGCCAAGTGACGCGTGACTGTGCCTTTACTTGTGCGTCAGAGGGTAAAGACATTGATTCTGACTTTTTAAACCCTGACGGGATATAGCTCAGTAGAGTGCTTGCCTGGCATGTGAAAGGCCCTGGGTCTTATCCCCAGCCCTGAAGAAAAATAATGGTGATAATGATAGAATCTTACTTTAAAAAAAAAAAAATCTTTTTTGGGATGGACCTTCGTTTTTCTTCTTTTTCTTTTTGGTCTTTTTTGAGACAAGCTTCCACTATGCAGTTCAGCTGGCCTTGAACTCATTTTATAGCCCAGGGTGGTCTTGAACTCACAGAAATCCTCTTTCCTCAGCCTCCTGAGCCCCGGGATTACAGGCATGTGCCACCATTCCTGACATTTTCAAAATGAGCATATATTATGGAAAACTTTCCCATGCAAAATATAATGAGGGCCAGTTAACTATCACCCAGCTTAACAACTAGCAATTTACCCCTGTTAGCTCTTCCAGAATTTTCTTTTTTTCCTGGAGTATTTTAATGCAATCTCAGACTTTTGGTAATTTACCTGTAAATATTTCAGAACACACCCCCAGCTGGTTGTTTCCTGCCATGTGTTTGCTTCTTTTTATGTTAAAATTGAGAGTGGCTGTTGCTCCAGGTCTGTATGTGAAGCTCAGACATGTCCATAGCGTGGGCAGATTGTCACGCATAGCTGGTGGTCCCCATCTGGTGGTCCTGCAGGTTGTTTTGAGTTTGCTTACTGAACAAAGTGTGAGTATTCAGAGTCTCCATCCTTTCTCTCTTGTACTTTTTCTTAGGATCACTTCATTTCCTCTCCTGCATTTGGAGAAATCCTCTACAATAACTTCCTCTTTGACATCCCAAAGATCCTGGACCTCTGTGTGCTCTTTGGAAAAGGCAACTCACCACTACTCCAGAAGATGATAGGTATGTAGGACATGGGACCTGGGAAATGCACAAGAACTGCCTCCATGGGCCTAACCAGAGGCCACAAAGGCTAACACTAAATAGTGCAGGGGATTTGGTGCAGTAGGGGTGAACAGACTGGAAACCTAAAGATTTATGAGTGTTAACTCTAAAATAAGTGACTGGTAACTGGGGGTAAAGGCAAAAAAAATAAGGGGTTACAAGATACGTAGTTCCTCAAGGAATCTAGAAGTCTTAGTGTTAGGCCAGGTATCAAAAAATGACAGGTAGAAAAAAAAAATGACAGGAATAGCTGGGGAGATAGCTCAGTAGAATAAATACTTGTCTGGCAAGCACAGGGTCCTGAGTTTAATCCCCAGCACTGGAAGAAGAAAAAAAAAAAAGACAGGAATGAGGAAGTGTACTTTGATGATGAGAGTTAGAAAAACAGGGACAGCTTATCTTTGAGTGTGGCCTGAGCCCTGGACATGTCAAGCATATCTCATTGGTATCCCCATTTGCTCCTCACAGCAACCCTGAGATAAGTGTTGTTATCCTCCCCATAAACAGATGAGGAAACCAAACTTAAACCGAGGGACACGACTGACAGCCTGTGGCTATGGAGATCTGATCCTTAAACTCTTGCTCTTTTTGCTCCCTACTTCAGGGAGGATGGGGCAGCCTCACAAATGGCAGCATTGCTGAGGATAGATGGGACAGAGTTCAGAGAAGACTTTTTGGGCTTGTAAAAAGAATGGACACTAGCAGTTGGATCCTTTGAGGCAGTGGTGGGCCAGAAGTTTCACTCAGAAACAGATGCACTGACGGGATGTCACAGAGGGAACGCCCCAGGGAACTCTTCTTAGAATTACAGCTCATGGGAGGTAGTCACCGGGGCAGTCTTCCTCATTCCAGGATCACAGAACAGACACAGTCTTCTAAATATTGCTTATAAAACTGAGTTCTCCTCTGTGATAACCTCCTTTCTTCTCTTACAACGTTTTGAAAGGAAGTAAAATATAAAGAAGCAGGAAAATAATTACCATATTCCTACAAGGGACAACTGTTGGGTTATTGATTCCTTCCAGTCATTTTTTTTTTTTTGCAACAGTTTCATTATATAGCCCAGGCTTGCCTTATAGCCCCAGCTGGTTTTGAACACATGATCTCCTGCCCTAGCCCCCCATGTGCTCAGATGACAGGCCTGTGCAACCACGTTCAGCATCTTTGTACATTTTTTGTAAAAGTACATTAGACTATAATGTATATGAAATTTTGCATCTAGCCTTTTTTAATTGGAATAATGTTTTCACATCATACCTAATTATAGCCTGATCACCATTCAATCCTTGCTTTTTTTGTTTGTTTGGTTTTTAATTTTCCCAGGGGAAGACCCTTAACAGTTTTACTATAGACTGAGAGCATGGGGTGAGTGAGCAACAGAAGGTATAATTAGGAAAACAATTACTAGGCCAGTTTAGTTAGTGTGGAGCCTTGTAGGAAGGCAGCAATAGGCAGCGGAGGGGAGGAAGCTGCAGCCACATTGGGAGGGCTCCGTGCCAGGCCTCAGGACTTGGGGCGTGGCACTGCTTTGGTGGCCAAGACAGCAGGCTCTATAGGTGAACAGCCAATACACAACCTGGCTCTGTTCCTCTTAATTCAGTGAGCCACTCTAAACCCGTTTTCTCATCTGGAGAATGGGAAGACTGGTGACAGAACTTCCGTATAGGGTGGCCGTGGAGACTAAATAGGAGGCAGTGTGAAAAGCATGCTCAGCACAAAGCCTGGCATGGCACCAGTACTCACAGAATGTACGCTGTTACTGTCTAAGCCTAGAACAGGGCAGGGAGCTGTCTGGTGACAGGTTAGTCTGGCAGCATGCAGGGGGAAGGTGAGACGGGAGGCCCTGGTGGAGGTGGGAGCATTGCTGTGGGTGTGAAGGTGAGAGCCTGGGTGGCCACTGGAGCAGAAAAGGACATCTGGGAGACAAATTAAAGTAGGACTCCATGAGGCCAGCTGGAAAAAGAAGTCTTAACAGTTCTGGAGAAAACTGGTATGGATTGCAGCAAAAGAGCCTTTGGGAGGTAGGAGGTGTGATTGTGAGTAGGCATGAGGTCACTGTTGGATGTGTCAGGTGTAAGGTAGTGCTGAGGCTCCCATGGGAGATGGCATGCTGACAGCAGATTGGGCAGCTTTGCCTGCTGCCCTGTTCCCTAATCTTTTGGGTCACTGGCTCTTTTGAGAATCTGATGAAAGATGGTTCCACAGATTTAAAGGTGTTTTCAAAGTGTTCTCAGGTTCCCAGGTTGAGAATCTTAAACTGATTTATTAAGGTCTATAGGTGTGTGTGTGTGTGTGTGTGTGTGTGCGCACGCATGCACTTGTGTGTTCAAAGTGGCCAGTGCAGAGGGGGGGCTGCAGTCAGCCTGTCTCTGTCCCTCTCAGTGCCCTTCTTCCTCTGTACCTCTCTCTTACACACAGCAGCTTTCTTTTCAGTCCTTAAGCCCAATGCGTAAGGGGCTGCCTCTACTTTCAATACAACAGAAATTCTTGGGCAAAGCAATTACTTATAAGAAGATTGGCAGGAGAGAAAAAGGAAACTGGTTAATTGTCCTGGAAGCACAAGCTCAGCCCTTACCTTTCCCTCTTTTCAAAGCCTTTGAGGCTGATATTGTGAATCAGCAAGTATAGTTTTTAAAACAGAGCCTTTCGATCTTTCTTGAAGCTGCTTTGCAAAACCAGAGTAAATTGGGTCATGACCCTTTCCTGGACTGCACTGATCTGCTTGGCAGTATCTCTTATTCACCGTAGGTTTCTGAACTGCTTTCATCTGAGAAGGGGCAGTTCAAAGGATGCTATTGCTGTCCCTTACCTTGGTATTATTTCTTTTAAGAGATCAGAAGCTGGAGAGATCTTCACTGTCATTGGAATCAGATAGAGGATAAAAGAGGGGAAAGGGACCCAAAAGACTCCCAAGGATAGACTGTGAAGCCTGAGCTATCTTGATGTGTGAAAAACAGCATTGTTGCAGGCTTTAGCACTAGAGGCTTAGGAGAGGGGGGACACACTGTGACCCTAGGGGTTGTGGGAGAAAACTTCTTTCTATTGCCTGTATCAGGATGCATTGCCTGAAAGGTGTGACGCCTACCTTCTGGTAAAACTAGCTCTGGAACTGTCCTTCCGATTTGATTTGAAACTGTCTCATTGCTATCTGTTTGTCAATAAAACTTTGAAGAAAAAAAAAAAAAACTAGCTCTGGGAGGGAGGTCATCTCAGGCAGCAGGAGGCGACAGAGAGAGGTGTCTGAAGTTGAGGATGGTGCAAGGGAGAGGACAACATGGGGAACAGGGAAAAGGAGACCCAGGATGCCAACAGGGGCCAGGTCTTACAAGGCCTTTTGTGTTATGGTCAGGAGCTCAGACCTGACTTTGAAGATCAGGATAGTTTCATGAGGAAGAGCAGAGGTTGGCAGGAGGAGAGCTTAGACATTTGTGGCCTGTCCAAAAGAGGAGATGGATGCATAGGGTCCAGATGCATCTTTACAGGTTTCAGGACCACCACTCATCTGGAGTGACAGGTCCTGAGCAAGCCAGACTAGTCACGCTGAGCTCTCTGAAATCAAGAAGTAAAGTGGTATTCAGGAAAGAGTTGACAGAAAGCACAATAATTAATGAGTTTCTTACTCTAAATCCGGGGAATGTGGGATCAGGGCTGTGGACTTGTCAGTAAAGAAACTGTGCCCAAGGGCTGGCAAGAGAGCTCAGCAGTCTAAAACACCTGCTTAGGCACGCTTCGGCAAAGCGCAGGGACCATGGTTTGATCCCTAGCACCACATGCTGCACCAGCTCCACACCCAGGGCAGTCTGAGCAGGCCTTAAAAATAAATAAATAAAATAAAATAAAATTTTAAAAAAGAATGTTTCAGCTATATTTGGGCCGACCAGATGGCTCATCAGATTAAATCACCTGCTTAGACAGACGCAGAGATTAGGGGTTCAATCCCAGGCCTGCCATGCCAGCCCTGCCCACTGGGTGTGCTGGGCGTGGTGGGGCATGCCTATAATCCCAGCACTTGGGAGGCTGAAAAACAGAAAAGATCACTACAAGTCCGATCTGTGTAATGAGACCCTCTACTAAATACATAAAAAAAAAAGGAAACCATGTCCAGAGACATAGGACACCTAGAATTCAGAGAATCCTGCTCTTACCTTTATATGTGAGGATTACATATGTGAGGATTACAGTGAGATGAAGAACCCTCTTCAGAGTTCTGGCATTTGTCATCATTTTGTCCCCAGGTAGTTGTGACTTTCTTGCCTTCTCCCCTCCCTCACCATTTGGGGAGCAGGACATTCAGTTTCTGTTCTAGTCACTTCATGCTCCAACCTACACATGCACAGCCATGCTTAGAGAATAGAAAATAGTCAGAGAAGACTTCCATCTATAAGAACAATCACACATAGGCTGAGTCCATCTCCACGTCCTTCTCAGGCCTTTCCCTTGGAGCAGAGTGAAGCAATAGCATACTCAGAAGCAAGAGAATTTTTAGAGAAATTTTTCCCCGGAGGCTCCTCACATCTTGGGAGGTATGACCTAGCATTGTTGCAGTCAGGGTTCTTGAGTAAACAGATCATATTTCTTAATTCTCCTGATGACGAACTTCCACTTCCAAAGCGTGAGGCCCAAGAACTTCCACTTCCAAAGCACAAGGCCCAAGTTTGGTCTCTCCCTGAGGACCTCAGGGGAAGCTAGTTTGACCAGGGCAAGTCTTTTATGAAATTCATTAGATAAAAGTATTTAAAAGATTAAAGTATACTGAAGAAAGGCACCCCGCGCCATCCCGCTGTCGTCATCGTCCATGTGGTCAAGCCTCAGTGCCAGCAGGGACTCTTTAAGGTCCTAATTACAGAGACACTCAAGAAGGAAGAGAGGTCACAGAATGTGCTGGAAACCATTTATATGTAAATTCCACCTCTCCCCACTTCCTACATCTCTCTCTTTCTGTCTCTTTTTTTGTAGGAAATATCTTTACCCAGCAACCCAGTTACTATACTGACCTGGATGAAACTGTGCCCACCATCCTTCAGGTACCAGCTGTTGGCCCTGCCCAGGGGAGGGTGAGCCGGGGAGGCAAACCCCTTCCCCACTTGATGATGTTCTTTGGCTTTTCTGGAAGAGCTGGAGAAAAATTTTTATTCCCTACCTCTTTTCTTTTATTCCCTACCCTTTTTCCCAGATTGTCTTTGTCTTGTGTCTGACCACACCTCTAAATTTGCCCTTTTTTTCCCTCTTTTTAAAAAAAAAAATGATTTGGTACAGGGTCTTACTATGTGGCTTGGTACTTGCAGTGGTCCTCCTGTCTCAGCTTCCCTAGTGCTGGGATTATAGGCTACGCACCATTACGCCCAGTTTCAGGGCCTAGGTTCCAGGGCCAACAGCATGTGGTATCAGGGATCAAACTCAAGACCTTGTGCTTTCCAGACAGTCACTTAGACCACTGAGCTACCTCCCCAGCTCCCATTTTTCCCTCTTGAATGGCACTGAAATCTAAGGGCTGCCTGACACTCAAACAGTTTGGCTCACATGTTTGTCAACAGTCATGTGCCTCTAAGGACATCTCTCCAAGCAATCTGTGTTTATCAAGAGCTTTACGTTTCACAAAATCGTTTCATGAAAGAATAATGTTCACTATAGAAAATGTGGAAAATGGTAAAAGCAGAAAGAATAATATTGTTATTGCCCCATAAAGCCACCACAAAGAGATACCCATTGTTCTTAGTAACTTGTAGAATAGTTATATGCCAGCTCCAAAATGGTGCTGTCAGTTTAATACTTACATGATTTTACCGTGGGCTTCCCCCCACACACACACATACACTGTTTTCTTTTATTAAAGTATTGCTCTCATAAGTAGCCCTCTCCAGAGGATCTAAAAATCTGTTTTATGTCAGTGAAGATGTCTCTCAAGTGTTCATTACCATATACTTGCCCAGCCTATCTAGTCAGATGATATTTGCAGGATTCTTGGGATTCTCCATGCATGTTGTGGAGATTTTGTTTTGTAATGCTGAGGATGGAAGCCAGGGCTTTACTCATGCTAGGCAAATGCAGTATCACTGAGCTATATCCCCAGCCCCACATGTTGTGTTTTTAATCCTCTACACAATTCCATAAGAAGGCTGTTTCTGCCTTCCCATCTTAGAGTGTTCCTACTCTGACCCTTCTCTCTGAAGAGGTCATTAATTATCTCAGCTTGTTCTTAGCCATGGGTGGGAGTCCTAGCCATGGAGACATCACAGTGTTTTTTCTTGCCTTTCACAGGTCTTCAGCAATATCCTCCAGCACTGTGGTTTGCAAGGGGATGGAGCAAGCAGCGCACCCCAGAAGCTCGAGGAGAGGAGCCGATTGACTCCCAGCGACATGCCTCTCCTGGTGAGGTCACCCTCCAACCCAGCCTCTTTCTAGCCAGATCCTTCCAGAAAGAGCACTTTCTGCTCCAAGGCTGGGAACCCCTTCCTCTGACTCACTGAGCAGCTATTTCTTCCCTTCATGTGGGTTAAGAGTGTTTTCAGCAGGCTTACATTTCTATCTGGGAGTTTCATTTGTGGAGTACTAAACACAATATGGACTGGAAATCAAAGGGAGGGGCCTGCGCCTTCCTTAGGTCAGCTCAGTGAGCTCATTGGTGCGTCACTCCTTGAGCCTTGAGCCATTTGTTCATTCCGTTGGTCTGTGCACAGGGGCCTTCAGCATGTGCTGGTGGGCCCTGGGGGTGAAGTAGTAGCAGAACAGACATGGTACCTGCTCTTGCAGCTCTTAGACCAGGAGGATGGCAGGCAGAGGCAGATACTTAAGGAGCCTGGATATGCATCTGGTGCTATGCTGAACAATGGAGAGAGAAGGAACGAGATAGCTGAGAGCTGCACACTGGGAGCTTGTGATCTGCTGGGAAAAGAGCAGCACACAAGTGTTTCGGGTGCTATGGGGGCAAGTCATTGCACCCTCTGAGGCTCTGTTTCCTTATCCATAAAGTGAAGATCCTAACAGCTGTTTAACTGATACCTTAGAGTTATTGTGACACTGAGCAATTAGACGATCCAAGCATCCCGTGTCCTAAAAACGAACTTCAAAATGAGAGGAAAGGGCAAGGAGATATCCCAGCAGCACGATGCCTGCTTGGCAAGCACAAGGTCCTGAGTTTGATTCCTGGTACCCACCCCAAAAAAAAAGCTGAAAAAAAAAGAAAGGTGGTACAAAGTAAGTAAGAGGAAGCATGGCGGTGCATGCCTATAATTCTAGCTCTAAGGCAGTTGAAACAATAGTATCCTTATGAATTTGAGGCCATCCTATGCTACAGAATGAGTTCAAGACTTAACTACCTAGTGAGAGCCTACCTCACAACAGAGAGACAGAAAAGGAGGGAGGAAGGGAGAAACAGAGTAAAGGAGGGAGGGAAGAGAAAAGAGAGAGGAAAGGGTGTGCTTGGTATTCTTGTCCTCATTGGGATGTACCCATTCTGTGGGACCAGTAGGTTTGATTTCCAATTGGATTCTTGATTTTTCTTCAGCATAGAAGAGAGACTATGTTATCTTTGAACTAGAAATGACCTTGACAGTCTCTGAGTGTCAGCCCATTGAAGTTGCATTAGCAAGGTCATTGGGGGACTCACCAGATTGAGCTCCTGGAGATGGATGGGGCAGGCTATGTCACATGGCTTCCTCTGTTCTTTTCTCCCCAAGCAACATCCTGCCTACTGGGGACCCTGATTTTGTTCTTTGTTTTTTGAGATAAGATCTCAATATGCAGTTCAGGGTAGCCTTGAACTCGTGGTGATCCTCTGCCTTAGCTTCTCCATGTGCTGAGATTATAGGCATGTGGCACCACACCCATCTGGGGCCTTGGTTTTGTCAACTGTGTCTCAGATTCTACAGAGCTCTCTGTGGAGCAGAGGAGAATAATGCAGCATTTTTTTCCTCTTGGAAATAGGAACTAAAGGACGTTATTCTCTACCTTTGTGATACCTGCACTACGCTCTGGGCCTTTCTGGATATCTTCCCTTTGGCTTGCCCAACCTTCCAGAAACACGACTTCTGTTACAGGTACAGTAGGAGTTCTGCCTGTTGAAATAGACTCGGGTGCATATACTCATTCAACATGTATTACTATGTCCTTCGAATGTGCCAGTCCTTCCAGCCTGGTAGTGCTGCAGGAAGACAGATAAGGCTCCTGCTTGTAAGAAGCCTGCATTTTAGAAGCATTGCCAGTTTCAGTTAAGAACAGGATGGAGCACAGTGTGACAAGAAGAGAGCAATGTCAATTCTGCTATTTATTTCAAAACCCCTGTCCTGGGGCCATAGAGAATGAAAGAAAGAAAGCAACTACCACCAGTTCTCTCCCATAGTTTCTCAGGCAGATCCATACCTGGCACAGCGAAGCTAAGCTTGCCTGTCACCTCTGCCACCTCACACCATTGCCTTCCTGGCTCAGGTTCAAACTCCTCATGCTGTCACACAGCCTTTCATGTCCTCCTAGAGATCAGTGTGCCCGCCGTCCCTTGACTTTTCCTCACTTATCACTGGCCACAGTTCTTTTCCTCAGTCTCTTCCTCTCCTCCTGCAGCATTCCAGGCCTCCCCCGCCATGTGCTTCCTGGTTGTGCTACACACAGGAGTCTTCCTTCCCAGAACCAGTGACACAGCACATAGAATAGACAGCCCTAGCGATTAGGAATGCAGCTGCCTCTATTCTGCCATATAATTTTTCCTTCAAACATCTTAACTTTCCCGAGCCCAGAATTATAGCTTAAGTGCAGAATTTGTAGCAAGTGCTCTGCAAACGCCTGTCTTCCCTTTGGCTACTTTCTGACAGTATGTATCTTGTTGCAGTACCATAGTAGCAGAGGATAAGTAAGCCAAAGGAGACAGGCACTCCTGGGTATGGCACCAGAAGAGGACAGAGAAGGCACTTTGGCCCAAGCAGGTTCAGTTGTTGCCAGGATTCGTTGCTGATAGGAGGGTTAGAACAACCTCTGCGTAGGGTGATTTGGCAAGATCTGTGAAAATTAAAGATGCATATACCATCTGTCCCTTCAATTCTACTTCTAGGAATTATTCTTCACGTATATTTGCAAAGGTACAAAGTGATGTGTGCAAAGTTATTCTGTGTGGTGTGGTTCTTGTTTTGTTTGACTTTGGTTTTGGTTTTTTAGTACTGGGAATTAAATACAGGGTCTTTGCACTAAGCTACATCCTTAGCCTTTTTTTAAATTTTGAGACAGGGTCTTACTAAGTTGCTAAATTGCCTGGGCTGGACTCAAAGTTGTGCTCCTCCTGCCTCAGTTTCCCAGAGTGCTGGAATTACAGGTGTGTGCCACCATTCCTGGCTTTACCACATGTTTTTATTATAGCAAACAGCTAAAAACAAAATAAAAAACTCTTGAATGTCCATCTATGGTGTCCAGTACTCCATATACATAATGAAATTCTGCCTAGCCATGCCCAAGACAAGGGGTGCCTTTACACATTGCCATTGTACCACTATTAAATGGAAAAGCAAAATGCAAATTATATACATAGTACTTCTAATGTAATGGCATTCAGTTTTTAAAAAGCAAGGAAAGGGGGGCTGTGGAGATAGCTCAGAAGCATAAGCACCTACCTGGCAAGCACAAGAACCCCAGTTCAATCCTTGGCCCCACATGCCATGCCAGCCCCAGAACCCCAGGTGTTCTGTCCCACTCTATATCCCTGGGCGTACCATCTCGGCCCTGAGCACCTGGTGTGCCCAGTGCTCCATGCCAGCCTATAATTTCAGCACTCAGGAGATTGAGACAGGAAGATCTCTGCAAGTTCAAGATCAGCCTAGGCTACAAAGTGAGCATGAATCCAGCCCGAACTGCATAGCAAGACCCTATCTCAAAAAAAAAAAAAAACAACAGCAAGGAAAGCACTAGAGGGGTAGCACAGTAGTAGAGCCCTTTCCTAGCATGCTTCAGCCCTGGGTTCAATCTTCAACACAGAGGAAAAGAAAAGGAACAGTGAGAGTAGAAGAGTATAGAGATGTATGTATTCTTAAATATGCACATGTAACACATCTGGAAAATTAAAAAAGCACTAATGTTAATGGAACAGACTGAGGGGGGGGGCTTTCCCTGTGTGATTTATACTTCTTTAGTTTTGAACCAGATATAGCTTTCATTCATAAAATATAACATTCATGTAGCATTCATTTATAAAATTAAAGGGAAGAAAAGGACTTCTTTGGATATAATGCATAGATGTGAGAGAAAAGAAGGTAGTGGTTGCGAAAGGAATGAATGAAAAGCTACCTGGGTGGCTACAACTCCTTCCAGAGAACTGTCAGGATGAGGTCACTGCATTTGTTCGTTCCTGGCCTCCAGCACAGTTGAACAGGCTAGACCAGCCAGGGCTGTGTTTGGTTCAAGGGCAGAGTCACTCTCAGAGTGTTTCCCTTCCTCCTCACCCTGTGTGGGTGGGACCTTATCCCCACTACCACTGTCACACGCAGGAAAGTCCACTCTTCTAAAGCTTACACCCCCAACTCCAAAGACCCTCCCTATTCAGGGAGATGTTAAAAATGAGAAATTACAATGATACATGAAAGCACCAAGGTGTAAAATTCTAAGAACAGTCTGATCCCTCATGACTTTAATTTCCTACCTGTATTTTCCATATTTCCTAGCAACTTCATGCCCCTTTCATGAGACAAGATACCTTTTTTCCAAAGTGGACAGCTACAGCCTCACCCCAGCTCCCTTCCTCTGAGGGGAATGCTAATCAGCACTTGATTCTAACAGTCTGTCTTAGAAGCTGATCAGTCCAAATGTCTGATTTTTTACAATCTGAGAGGACCAAGGAAGGGGTCAGAGGACCAGCTGCCATCTCTGGCATATGTCAGCACTAGATAAATGTTTTGTTGAATGAGTGAGTAAACGACAGAATGGATGAATGGGTAGACTGAATTGGATAGGCTCCCAGGAGCTTTTGCAAATGGTGGGGAGAAATGCCTGGCAAGAGTGACAACCAGAGGCCACTGAGAAGGGACCAGAATCTCTCCTTTCTTAATGCATAAGGAAGATGCTGGTTGGGCATCTTCAGTTGTTGCCAGGATACGTTGCTGTTAGGACCAAGTGGACAAAGTGGTCTTCCTTCCTCCCCGTATGTCCTCCCTGTCTTTTTTCATCCTACCAGGATTTCTTTGTGGCTTCTTTGGCTAAAAGTCTACTGTAGCTTTTGCTGCCTACAAAATAAAGGTCCCACCCCTAGCCAGCCCTTCAGAGTTGCTCCCACTCTGACCTTCATGAGAGACTAGAACTATCTCTTAGCTTTCTGGCTCCTTCCCCTGCAGGTCTTGTGTTCCCAGCCTGCCCCTCAGGTCATGCTGCACTCTGCTTGCCCTGAGCCTTTGCAGACGATGCTCCACCTGCCTTAAAGTCCCTTTCTGCCTTTGCCTTTCTTTGTCTGGAAGGTTCCTGTCCATTCTTCCCACAACCCGTACAGGGCCTTACAGTGTTGTCCTGGCTGAGGGTGGCTCCTAAACTTTGGATGCTCCTTCTTTAGCGTTCCACGTAGCTGGGGTTACTGTCATGTGCCATCACACCCAGTGTGCTTTTACTCTTGTGCTCTACCATCTATCTATCTGTTAGTTTTATAAGAGTTGTATAAACCATACTAACTGTTGTAACTCATAGAACCAGTGTAGACAATAAAATAAATTATGAGTATATTTAGCCTGTTCTGAGCAAAGATATATTGTTGACATTTCATGTTAAAAACAATTTTTAAATATTCCAATCCACACCAAAACTAAAGCTTTCTCTTTATATTTCATAACTAAATGAAGAAAGATTATTTATAAATGAACATTTGTTTTAAATGAACACTTTAGTGCATATAGAAATAGCATTTTTTGAGCAAGTAAAAAGATAATCTTGAGCCAGGCATGGTGGCACATGTCTGTAATCCCAGCATTCAGGATGCTGAGGCAGGAGGACTGCAATGAGTTTAAGGCCCTCTTGGGCTACAAAGTAGGTTGGAGGCCAGCCTGAACTGCATAATGAAACCTGGTCTCAAAAAAACAGATCAAATGATAATCTTGTATCTGTTTCTCAAGCCTCAGAAAACCTTCTGGGTGGTCCATTAGAATGCCCTGCTGGAAAAAAAAAAAAAAAAAGAATGCCCTGCTGGGTGTGGTGGTGCACATCTGTAATCCCAGCACTGAGCTACATAGTAACTTTAAGGCTAGTATGAACTACATAGCAAGACCCAGTGCCAAATCTCTCTCTCTCTCTCTCTCTTTCTCTCTCTCTCTCTCTCTCTCTCACACACACACACACACACACACACACACACACAATTGTCCCATCTGAATAGGAGAAATCACTACAGTCACTTCCCAAGGACTTCTATGGGACCCACAGTGGGTCAGTATGGGGTGGGCACAGAAAAGCTCCAGGGTAGCACCAGGGAAAAATAACTGTGGAGGCAAGGAATGAGTCTTCCAAGTCCCTTGGGGGTGACTGGTTTTCTAAGGAAATGTGATATTTATGAACTAATCAAGCTTTTACCCATGTGTGCCTCCACAGACTGGCTTCCTTTTATGAAGTGGCAATTCCAGAAATGGAGTCTGCAATTAAGAAGAGGAGGCTTGAAGACAGCAAGTGAGGCGGGGACAGAATTAAGAACATTGCAGGGAAGGGGAGACCTGATGACAGCCCCTACCTTCCCCAGCTGCAGCATTCCCCCGCAACCAAAGACTGCATAGCTTTTGGCTCATTCATCCCTAGCTTGGAGGCTCCTGGCTGCGGCATTTTTTTTTTTTTTTTTTTTAATTCCGAAGAGAATTGTTTTGTGGGATGATCAAGTCCAGGGCCTTCGGCATCCCCAGCAAGTGCTCTACCAAGTGTTAGGCCCTCAGCAATTAACATTTTGTTTTATTTTGTTTTTCTTCTGCAGTGCTGGGAATTGAACCTATGGTGTTCACATTGAACTACATCCTCAGCTACTCCCTGCTTTTTTTTGCCATAGGTTCTCACTAAGTCTCTCACATTGCCCGGGCTGGGGTTGAATTTATAGATCTCCTCCTTCTGTCTCCCAGATGATGGGACCACGGGCATATGCAATCATACCCAATGAGATTTCTTTACAGTACTCTGTAAGGAATTGCGTAAGGACTGCAGGATAAAGATTTCAACAAGTAGAGCTAAATGAACAAGGGAGCTTGGTCCCAGAGCCTGCTTAGCAATTAAGTCTATTAACCCGATGCCCCTAAATACCAGCGGTTACTAGGATGGCTGTCCCTGCATTTAAGTACTCTCTCAGCTGTTACTTCAAGCTGTTGGTAACCAACCCCACTGTTCCTGACCTACTGTTGAACTAAGAAGTGGAGCTGGCTGGCCACACAGCCACCTTTTGTCAGCTGTTCCCACCAGTGACCTGAGACTTTCACAGCCCTGGGGAGGAGTATGCAACTGCTGGGAAGAGCTTCCCTAGACCCTTCTGTCTCCTAAATCTATTCATCTTTTCACTCTGGTTGCAAAGGCTGTTGGCTGACCTGTGGCAGAGGCTCTTGCATTCCAAGAAGAAGCTAATGGAGGTTTTTCACATCATCCTGAGCCAGATCTGCCTCCTTCCTATCCTAGAAAGCAGGTGAGTCCCCGAGAGCTCACTCCAGCTCAGCAAGCGCACTCGCATCACTCCACTGTGGTCTTCTGCCCTGCTCTGGGGTTTGCCAAGCAGAAATGGGAACTCAGAAAAATGCCCGTTTCCTCCAGCTGGCCAGAGCATTGCAAGGTGTGGGTGGGCATGGAAAGGACCTGTGCATCACCTTGCATTATGTATGCAGGCTCATCTTGCCTGGTGTCATTTTACAGCTGTGACAGTGTTCAAGGCTTCATTGAAGAATTCCTTCAGATCGTTAGCTCCGTGCTACAGGAAAAGAGGTGAGTGTGGCTGAGCTGGGAGCAGCAGTGGGAGAGGCCATGGCCTTTCCTTCAGTCCCCTGCCATGTGCTCACCACTGCTCAAAGGTCCTGGCACTTGTGGTTGGGGAGCAGACGCAGGAAGTGGCCTGCAGCACAACAGTGTCCCTGTGGCTCCAGACCCATCCCTCCCATGTGCTGTCTGTCCCAAAGGTTCCTTCGCGACTATGATGACCTCTTCCCTGTAGCTGAAGACATCAGCTTGCTGCAACAGGCCTCGTCAGTCTTGTATCCTTCTACCACAGCCCACTGGTACAGAGCCTGGCCTGACTAAAGACAGGGACCTTCGGGGACAAAGAAGAGCAGAGAGAGCATTAACCAGTAGTCCTTAGAGCCAGCCAACATCCCAGCCTCCCTTTTTCTGGAGCAAATGACTGCTTTGATGTCTGGGGTAGGGGTAATATAGTCCTGTTTTCTCTAGGTGTTACCTGAGTGTCTGAGCCTGTGTGACCAAGTCGGACCTCGGCCACACTCCCACATCTGTTGCAGGAGGAGAAAGGGACAAGTAAACAGGCAGTTAAAGAGTCATACAAGAGGAATTCAGACAGCACCTCACCTAGTGGAACTCAAGGAGTCAAGTGATGTCCCAGCTGGGAACGGAAAGAATAGGTGGCCAACCAACAGCTAGGATGAAGACAGGAGTATTCCCAGAGGTCAGAAGATAGGAAGAGCTGGCTCCTTGCAGGAGTCCACCAGCTGCCTTGTACAGAGGTGTGGCCAGGGTAGTCTTTACTGGAAGAGGTCTGACAGGTAAGCTTCCTGTTACATTCGTGGCTATGAAGCAGTGACTCACTGAGAAGCTTGGACTGTGTTCTGCAGGTGCTGAGACGTGGGGAAAGCTCTGAAGCCAGAGGTGACACTTGCAGGTATATACTGTAGAAAAGCTGTGTTCAACACAGGGAACAGAATACTACAGGAGGTTTGGGGGCAGAGAGGAGGCTGTTGCTAGCATCCAGGCACTGATTATGGTGATTTGGACTACAAGTGGAATGAGGGCCTTGGAGACAACTCAGATTTCTGGGTTGGCAATGCCCAGGCTGCTAGAGAGGAAGTTGGTCTGTGAGCCCTTTTGGTTGCTGGGATAGACTACTCAGTCCTGCCTTGGGACACCCTATATGACCCACTCTACAGATGATCCTTGGATAATTGAATGGGAAGCCCAGTGGCAGTGGCCCGGTTGGGTCCTCCTCTTGGCATTTAGTGCAAAAGAGGAACTTCTGGCTCATCCTGAAGCCATGTCCCAAGACCCTTGGTGGTGGACTCCAGCCCTGTCTGTCCAGAGCTGCTTCATGCTGAATGACAGGTAGAGTGTTGCAAGGGCCATGTAGCTGTGGTCCAGCCTGCTACCCTACTAGCCCAGGTGTCTGTGATTCCTGCTGGTCAGATGTTGGGAAGAGACTGAGAAATCAAGCTGCCTCAGCTGGGAAGGCAGAGAATGCTGTGGCACCTGAGAAAGACCCCTTAACACAGCCTCACAGGGATGAGACACGCACTGCCTACATCCTCCAGGCAGTGGAAAGTGCATGGGAAGGAGTGGACAGACGGAAAGCCATGGATACTAAAGACCCATCGGTGGCCAAGGATCCTAATAGAGATTCTAATGGGATCACGGTGACAGCAGAGCCAGCCCATCAAACACTATCACAGCTGGAAAACTCAGAGCAAGAGGAGGTGTGTGTCCAGGGGATTCCTTCCATTACCTCCCCAACCCCTTCTGTCCCATCAGGGCAGTGGCAGACCTCTTTTCCTTGTTTCTGCAATCAGGGAAAAGGTTTCTTTTGGAATAGACAACCCCTGTGTGCTGCCTTTAGGAGTTCCTTTAGGAGGTCATGCTGCACCAGAAATTAGGACAGATCAAGCTGCTTAAGCTGTCTAAGCCTGTTTTCCCCTATGAAATGAAGAGGTGAAGCTTTTTGCATATGAAATTCTTCCTGAGCCCTCCCTTGCACAGTGGAAGTCCTAGTACTTTGCCTCCCTGGAAACCCCTCCGTAGGACCAACAGGGCTCTAATGAACAATTTTGGAAGCCTCAGATCTAGTGCTTTCCCCAAGACTTTTCCAAACTGGCTACATGCATGGACTCTTCCCTGAGTGTTGGAAAGTGGCATGATAAATCAAAATAATAAAGGGTCAAGTCTGTAGCTCAGTGGTACAGAGCTTGCCTTAGTGTGTAAAAGGCCCTGGGTTCCATTCCCAGAACCACAGAGTAATCATAATAACAACAATAAATGCTGTAAGGATGGAGACCCCCACAAATTCAGGGCAGGCTGCTGGAGGTGTAGACTGTTATGCCGCTCACCAGGTATTCAGGCTTGGACACTTCACTCCCAGCCTTACTCCCTCTTCTGTAAGGCATAGACAGCATGCCACTTGGTGGGATTCCTAGAACCTTTGCCTGGAGTGCTGGGCCTGGCTGGCCCTTGATTCTCCAGTAAGAAGCACTCTGTTCTTCCTGTGGAACCCCAGGCCACATGATTCTCCCAGTGCCTTGGAAAAAGACAGCCCTCCCAACTTTCCATGCTCTTCCCCATTTGGCTTCTTGTCTGAATCATTTATTGTTGTTGTTATTATGATTATTCTGTGGCTCTGGGGATGGAACCCAGGGCCTTTTACATGCTAAGGCAAGCACTGTACCACTGAACTTCAGACTTGACCCTTTATTATTTTGATTTGTCAATTTCCTTTAAAAGTCTAAGAAAATTAAGCCCCATTGGATAGTATATAAAATTAATCCCCTTTGGACTGGTAATGTAGCTCAGCGGCATAGTACAAGGTCATGAGTTCAATTCCCAGTATCCAAAATAATCCCCCTTGCCATAAATTATGTGTTTAAAGGGAAACATGTCTACACCACCTAACTTTGTAGTCACTGTTCCCTGGCAATGTCAGTCAATTTTTTAGAATTGGTAAAAGGCCTTGAATAGTAGACCATGACTAATTGTAGAGTGCCTGGTCTGTACCAGGTACTATGTTCAGTGGTTTATGTGAATCCTCCCTTTGAGCCATTTGAAACAACTCAATGAGGTGGATAGTAGTAGGCCTATTTTATGAGGAAACAGACTCAGAGAGGAGAAGCACCCTACCCAAAGTCACACAGCCAGAAATAGCAAAGCATAGAGCCCCTTTTTCCCACAGAGAAGAAAATGGAGGATCAAAGGGACTTGAGTTACTTGGCTCAGGTCCTACAGTCAGGAGAGGTGGGGGTAGGAATTGAAATAGATCCCATGATGGCAAATCCAATGTTGTTCGAAGCTATAACCCTGTCATGCCAGGGCTCAGCCTTCTCCTTCTTCACTCTGGCTCTCACTGCAGTGCATTGGAGCAGCTGCCACCCTCGGCCCCACCATGCATGGTGTCGAGCTGGACTCACTCATCTCCCAAGTGAAGGACCTGCTGCCGGACCTTGGGGAGGGCTTCATCCTGTCCTGCCTAGAGCACTACCACTATGATCCGGAGCAGGTGATCAACAACATCCTGGAGGAGCGGTTGGCACCTGCCCTCAGCCAGCTGGACCGCAGCCTAGACAGGTGGGAGAGATGGGTGGTCGGAGGAGGCGGGGACCCAGTCTGCCTTGGGGCAGTAGGTCCTCTCTGTCCACCTCATAGCCCAGGGCTTGGCTTGCTTGCTTTTCACCACAGCAGTTTAAAACTAATGCCTTGTTCAAGGAGATAAAACCTGGGGCCCCCAGGAGGTTCTCAGTGCATAGCTCATAGTCTCTGCAGTGGGTACCTTGTGGGAAGACTGAGTAGGGGCAGATGTGACAGAGGTTGCTGAGCCCTTCAGAGTTCCTAAGTTTTTAATCTGTTCCATCCATACCACCTTCCAGTAAATATCTGAAGGGGGACATCCAAAGCCTCTTCTGTCCTTTTTATGTACCCTTTGTGAGTTTGGCCCACTGCTGCCCTGAAGGCCCTTTCAAGGGACACCATGAGAGATGGCATAAGTACATGTTTCATCCATGAACAAATGATCTTTACCAGATGAATGAAATGATCTCTGTGCCTTTGCACAAGTTCCTGAGCACAGAGGCACAAGGGGGTTACGTGAGGCTAGGGATATGGTAGAGCATTTGCATAACACATTCAAAGCCCCAGTTCTAACCCCAGCACCAAATAATCCCAAAAGAGACTGAATGACCTATGACCCCCTGTCTCACAGGGCCATTGTGAGCATTAAATGAGGAATGGAGCTTTTAAAAAAAATGGAAAGAAAGCCGATATGCATGAGGGAGCTTCATTTGTAGTATGACTACACACACAGGCAGAGCCTTGTCTTCTGACTAAAGGTTTCCAGACTGTGTCCTAGTTGTGGACACTGAACCACAGTGCAGATTCTGATGGATAGAATCCAGCATGGGGAGCCAGGTATGGTGGTGCCTGCCTGTAATCTCAGCACTTGGAAGGCTGAGTCAGGAGAATCATGAGTGCAAGACCAGCCTGGGCAACTTAGCAAGACTTTGTGTCCAAAAAACAGATGTACATGGCAGGAAGGAGTAAAGCATAGGAGGTTGGCCTAAGCTGGCAGGGCCCCTAAAATGATTTCTGTACCCCCAGACAGGCAAAGCCAGATCCCACTCCCCTGCTGACATCTCGTCACAACATCTTCCAGAATGATGAATTTGATGTGTTCAGCAGGGACTCGGTGGACCTAAGCCGGATACACAAGGGCAGGAGGTAAGTGTAGTGGGCTGTGGAATTCCACTCACCCCAGCTCTGGAAGTATAGAGGGACAGTGAGAGAAACCAAGGGCCCCATAGTTACAAAATGGGCTCACTGTGCACTGCTTGGGGCTGAAGCAGGGGGTGCAGATTTCTTAATGACTGTGCCTTATGCTGTGATTCTGGGCAAGAAAGTTGATAGTGCATCCTCCTTGTCAACAGCAAAAGGTCAGAAAGGCCAAATCTGTCCCCCTGTACTCTTATTATATATTTGATGTATTGACTGTCAACTCTGTGGGCAGTAAGTAGAGCTGGCCAGTGATTCCCAGAAGCCACTTTTTGACCTGATTTTCCCTAAGCTATGACCAAATGAGAAAATTAAGGATTTCCGCCATGTGAACTTTTCCAAAGGTGAATATAAACCATTTTAAGGCCTTTCTCTTTTAGTTTTTGTCCTTCTTACATTTGGGGGATCAAAAAGTCCATTCATGACTTAATTCATTCAACAAATATTTGCCTGGTACTTAAGCATTCTAGGCCCTGGACTAATTAGGTTCTGGAACTGGAGTAGGGAGTGAAATAGACACGGTCTGTGCCCACATGGAGTTTGCGTTAATCAGCTCATCAAACAAGCAGTGTCACATTGTAGATAGAACAAGTACAGGGATGGAGGCATGCAGACTTCAGTACCTTTGTTGGAGGTCCACCCAAGCAGGAAGGCTCCTTTGAGAAGGTGATGAGGGACCAAGAACTGAAGGGTGCAAAGGAGGGAAGGAAAACCCTTGCGTGAACAGCAGGACAGGGGCCCCAAGGCCTTCGTAAGTGTGGTGGGTGTCCCAGGAACTGACAATCATTTTGAAAAGCTTTGGAATGGTGATCCACAAGAAGGACTGAGAGTCAGCACTAGTGATAGAGAGTTTGACAGCCAAATCAGGAATGGCAAAATAAGACACTGGTAGCACTGCTAGTGTCCCAGAGTTCTGAAGTGCTATTCGTGGAACCCAGAAATCTGAGCGCTCTGGACAAGCACAGCCTGCCCTGTCTCCCGTAACAGTAATATGAATGGGGAGATTCAGAAGGATGAGGCCAGCCTTGTTCTGCTGGTCGGAGCCCTAGTGTGGAAGTGTGAGCTGTTCCCCCTCCCTTGCCTTGTTAGGAGTTTGGCTGGCTAAGAGTCTGAGGAGTGGGTGTCAGACAGCTTTAAAGCCATCTGGCTGGCCAGGCAGGAAGCACTTGCGAAATGCTTAGCCATATACATTGTGACATCCCCAAGATCCCAGACCAGAGCTGTCATCCTACATCAGTAGCTACTACACCAGGCCACCATAGCCCTCTGTAGCTCCTTCTATGGGGGGTGGGGGTGACAGGGGTCCTCCAGCCAAGAAAAAGACTAGTTCATGCCCTACCCTAATTTGGTAGGTCCTCCATGGAGCTTAGGTATCTGGGGGCTTGGCTTTTTTACTGACCTTTGTCTGAGGCTTTGCCCAGGGCCATGGTAATGTAAGGACCCATTTTCCCCTACTCAAGTCATAGATCACTCACTAGGGTCTGCCAGGGGGCTTGTCTCAACTATCAGGGTTGTCTGAAGGCCTGGGGCATTCCAGGTTGCCTGGCAGAACCTGGACAGCTAGTGTTTACTGAACCCACTGTGCTGGCTAACCCAGGGGTGGGGATTATAAAGAGGCAAAGCCTCCATTCATCTGTTCATTATTTATTTATTCATTCAGCAAATATTTATTAAGTGATTTACAAGCACCAGATGCTATGCTAGACACCAGGAAAACAAGGTGAGCCAGGTGCCCCAGCCTTGCCCTCAAAGGGTAGAGACCGTGGGAAAGATAGACCATTAAACAAGAAGTGGCAGAGCACAGGTGCCAGGGTAGGGTGCACCAGGAGTTCAACAGAGACAGGTGTCCTAATCGGGGCAGTGTGGAGAGTCTCAGGGCCCTTCCTGCTCTCAAGGAGGACATTAGAAATTCAGTCATATAAAACAGATCACACGATGTGCATACCATGGAGCCAGCAGGACGCACTCCACAGCTTAGGTAAGAAGGAGATCTGGTCCCTTGAGCTGAGGAAGCTGCAAGAGGCGGGGTGTAACTAGCCCATGGTGCAATGACATGGTCCAGGCTGTCACTTTTCTGTCTGTAGGGGCCTTGGCTTTGTGATCAGGCTGGTTCCTTGAGAGTCTAGGGGTTGCAGCTATTTCAGCTATAGCTTCCAGAAATGACAATGCCAAAAGGAAGTCCAGTTTAGGTGTCCCTATGTCTCTTAGAGACCAGGCTAGAAGCTTCCAGACTCCCTTTTATCCAAGATAATTAAGTCAGAGTAGGACTTGAGGTCCTAATATGAAGAACAGAAGTATAAAGACTTGAACAGTGAAGGTCTCTTAGTAGTATGGCTGTGGTAGAGGAAGCTGTTGGGTAGATGCCGACCATCTATGCCACAGATATAGTGTACCAAATAAAGGAAGCCATGTCCATAAGGTAGGGTTCCCTGACTCTGTTGGGCTGTTCCACAGTGGCCTGAAGATAACAGATGTTCCCCCTCAAAAAAGCTTCTGTGGCCAGGTGTGGTGGTAACACAGTTGTAATCTTAGCACTTGGAAGGCTGAGTCAGGAGGATCACCATGAGTTTGAGGCCAGCTTGGACCTGTCTTGAGAAAAAAAGAAAAGATTCTGTGGCCAAAAATGTATGTCTGACGCCTATAGAAACACAGAACATGTTAGCACATTAAAGCATCTGGTAAGTCCAGCAAAAAACAAACAGGATTCATTTGTTGAACCTAGCAGGTGTCAGGTCTTCTACACGTTATCTTCATACTCACATCAAGTGGGTGCCGCAGAAGGAACTGAGGCTTGGGGGGATGGGGGACTTGCCAGTGGTTATATAGTTCAGGCAGTGATAAAACCATCCTGAGTCAAAAGACTTGCTGTTAGAGGCTATATGGCCTAACAAGTTGCACTGCCCCTCTGGGTCTCTGTCTCCTGACACCTCACCTGGAAAAGGAGGGGTTAATTGTTCTATGGGCCTGTAAATCCAATCTGAGATGGACCCTGAAGAACAGGGCTGAGATGAGGGGAAAGGCTACGACCAGAAGCCTGCATGTTCCTAGGTTTGCCATCATGTAGGAGGTGGAGAAAGTGTCTTGTTTCAACACCAGTTCCTGAAACCACTGTTGCCTACATTTTTAGCCTAGAGTGAAATTCTGGCCCTTAAACAGACCTTTTACCAGCTGTATTTGCTGGAATTGTTCTTCTTCCTGGCTTCAAATAAGGTCACGGGGCCAGAGCCACACCTTCACAGATGAGCTGCCTAGGCACCAGGCTCTACTGTCCCACATCAAGTGTTTTCTCCTGGGAACCAGCTGGGCTGGGCAGAGTTTTTCAAGCCTCTCTGGGTGGCCTGCCAGGGAGCCATGTAACCAGAGGCCTCCCAGCACACAAGAACTACCCCATTGCCTGAACCAAGAATAGGATAGACCAGAAGCTGTAGGGTGGCAGAAAGGGGTCAACTTCATCCTTGGTGCCAGGCTCGTCCAGATCCTGGCACTCAGCCAGCACTCCACAAATGTAGCTGAATGCATGGTGTGTTCCTACAGTGGCACCACGCACCTGGACAAGCTTAAACACCTTTTAGTCCTCTCCATCTCTTTTCCAACATGGCAAAGACAGCCAGGTACAAAGTCAAGGCCACCATCACAAGCCTCCCTACCTTGTGACTCTGAAAGATTCCTATGGGCCAAGATTATTTCCTGGTCCAAACATATCATCCTTTCTTCTCGATCCAATCAAATACCCCTGCTGTTCCAGAGCTTCATTACCCTTCTCCAAGATCCCTGCTGGACTCTGGAGCCACAGTGTATTTGCCCTGTCTGTTCCACGCCAGGCATGCTGCCATTTAGCATGATCCACAGTGCTTGTCATAGGCCCATCTGTCATGGCACTGCTCTGTGAGTTCATGAAGGCAGATCTATATCTGGATCTCTCCCTACCTCAGCTTTAGAACCCTGGATGACATGTAATAGGTCCTTAATAAAGATTGTGGTCTGGGCGTGGTGGCACAAAGAAGTAGAGAAGGGGGAGGCTGAAAATGTAATTCAGTATGAAGGTCTCTACACACACACACACACACACACACACACACACACACACACACACACTCTCTTGCAGGGAGGAAAATGCTTGCCTGCCATGCTGGGCACTATAGTCCTGACCAGCTGCATGCAGGTCTCAGGAAGACAGCCTGACCAACTCAGATGCCTGCCCCTCCCTGTGACAAAAGCCGGTTAATAGAAGATTTTTATGGAAGCTGATATAGCCTCTGCCCCCCCCCATACATTCCAGAGCCCCGATTTCACGGCTAAGCTGGATTTTCTTGCCTGGCGTCTCATATTGATTTTCCCCTGCAGGGTTAGAAACTACATTCCACAAGCTTGTGTGAGCGGCTGACAGGCCAAGTTTTTCTACAGGTTGGCCAAGATACTTGCCTAAAGGGCCAGCGACATAGCTCAGTGGACTAAGCTCCTGCCTAAGCAAGTGCAGAGATGGGTTCGATCCCCTGCACTACATGTCACACTGGCCCTGCCCCCAGGCATGCTGAGCCAGCCACCAAGATCAGGTGTGTTGGCATACACTTATAATCCCAGTGCTGGGGTTGATGAAAACAGGAGGATCACTATGAATCTGAGCTGCCTAGTGAGACTCTGTACCAAATACATTTAAAAAAAAAAAAAAAAAGAGAGAGATACTTGCCTGAGTTCCTGTCAGGCCTATGCTACAGGTCACAGTGATCCCAGCGATGGCCCTTTCCCTTCACTGCACCAGTTTCCTTAGCTGTGTTGTGACAGGAATTGCACTTCCAGAATTTTTCTTAGAGTGAATTCTGATGTGGAAGTACAACTGTGTAACAGCAAGATAGGAAGTTGCTGTGGTAAAAGGGGTGAAAGGATGAGGCCTGGGCTCCTCCTTGCTACACACCCCAGAGGTTGGGAGGACTCCCCATGTATCCTTGCTTGGTTTTTGTTTAATTTAAAGACTGGTGCTTGAAGCCCAGAGTTGTGCAATGCTGAGAGGGAAAAAAAGCCCAAATGAAAACAGAACAAAAGCCAAAGATTGAAGCAACCTCAAGCCCCTTATAGTTCAAGTAATTGTTGTCTTTTACTGTCATGCTGGGCCTTCTCTGCATTTATTGACAACACCAAAAGCCCACAGAAACAAGTGGGTGACTTTGCTTTCAGGATCATTCTGTTTTTCTGTAGCTTTCTTTCTTCCTGCAGAATAGAATTCTTTCCTTCAGCACAAATAGATCAGCATTGTTCTTGAGAACTACACACAGCAGTCTGTAGCACAGACAGGGCACAGTTCATGCACCCGCTTCACGCATGAAGGCCATCAGTTGTTTTCTATTTTTCACTGTTAACCTGCAGTACTGAAAAGAAACCCTTGACCAGACTTTTTTGTGTGCATAAGGAGCAAGATTCTCTAGAGTCAGTGCCCTGGAGGGGAATTTCCTGGTCAAAAGAGAGGTGTGTGTATTACTTTACCAGTGGCTCCTGGACTGGTACAGAGGGGTCTGATATCCAGTACAGAGGGGTCTGATATCCAGTACCTGATCTCCATCGTCTCAGCACGAGCCAGTCCCAGCTGTGGCAAAGTAAGCCCAGTGTCTGTCTGGATCCTCTACACCCCACGCTGTCCAAGCCTGATGGTCTCCTCCCTCTCTCTGCTGTCCCCAGGAAGGAGGGGAACACTCGGAGCCTGCTGAACGACAAGCGTGCAGTGGCAGCGCAGCGGCAGCGCTACGAACAGTACAGCGTGGTGGTGGAGGAGGTGGGCGACCAAGCTGGGCCTCCACTGGGCATGGGAGACTGCACAGGTCCCTGAGCTCCCCTGACCCAGGCTTCCACAATTGCAGGTGCCACTGCAGCCAGGTGACCACCATAGTGAGAACTACGAGGATGAGTATGATGACACATACGATGGCAACCAGGTGGGCGCCAATGACGCAGACTCAGATGACGAGCTCATCAGCCGTAGGTGAGGCATGGGGATAGCATCCAAGACCAGAGCAGCTCAGGCCTGTGGGGCTCTCACCACTCTGTGTTTGCAGAGGGAAAATCAGGCCTAGCCACATGGGCAAGTCAGAGCAGAACCAGGGCCCATGCCCACGCCTCCTGTCCTTTCCGGTGCTTTGTTTTTGAGACAAGGTCTTACACACAGTGTGTAGTTCAAGCTGGCCTTCAAGTCCCTGTAGAGCCAAGGCTGGCCTCGAACCTGCAGTGACCCTCTTGCTTCAACCTCCCAAATGCTGGAATTACAGGCATGTACCACCACACAGGGCCTGAATTTCTCATGTGCAAAACATTTTTCCCAAAGGAATCCTATAGGGTTTCCCCAAAACAGATCAAAGCAGAGCTGCCCTGACTAAAGGGAAGACTGAAGAGTACCAGTTCAACCTCTTCCTTACCCTCCTCAACCCTAGTCAGACCCTGGTTCCCAGAAAGAATCCAGGGGCTGGCATAAAGCTAGCTTTGAAAAGCCCTGTGGTGTTCCCAGCCTCCCAAGCCCACTCTTCCCCTGGCAGCACTCTCTGTACCAGATCCCTGTTCCTGAGACTTTCTGTCCAGCTTTCACTGAGTCATTGATCTCACTTTCTCTCCAAACCTGTAGGCCCTTCACTATCCCTCAGGTGCTGAGAACCAGAGTGCCTGGAGAACGGCAGGAAGAGGAGGCTGAAGAGGAGGAGGAGGCTGAAGAGGAGGGCCCCAAGGTACTTCCCTGGCAGGTGGCAGGTGCGGGGGTGGCAGATGAAGGGCATGTAGTTCTGAAGCTTTGAGCCCCCTCCCTCACTGCATCTGGCCCAAGGCAGCCCTGGCATCACTGCTGGGGAAAGGAGCTCTCTTGGAGCCCAGGCCGTCTGCCTGGATTGCTTCTGGCTTAACCTCGGTTGCCTGGTGAGGGCCCAAGGGACAGATTAGAGGCCCGGCCTTTGAGTTGCCAGGTTTATTAGGCCCAGAAGCCTGGGGCTGGGAGGGCAGCTGTCAGCTGGCGTGCCCAGGCTGACAATTTTTAAAATCAAAGAGAAGTTAAGAGCCCAGGGGCCTTGGAGGTCATCTGTACCTGTGAGTTAGAAAAATTCTGTTTTTTAGCAGCTAAACTTTTTATTTAACTGAAATATTAACTGGAATCTCAACATAAAACAGATCAAAGCAGTATTACTCAGGTCAGTAGGGTGGCAGTGAGGAGCCCTGGAGCCCCTGTGCCCTCCCAACAGGTTGACAGACCAGGTGTTTCCAGATTCGGGTCACCAGAGCAACTGAGGAGGCTCCTGTTGGGAACTGCACTGAGAGGTGGGGAGCATTCTCTGGACCAGGAAGATCTCAGAGTCTTACAGTTTTCCTTTCCATCCAGCCCAGGGAGCAGCCCAAATTTTTATATAGAATCTGCCTATTTTCAGCTGGGTGTAGTGGCACACACCTGTAATCCCAGCACTTGGGAGGCTGAGGCAGGAGGATCTCTATGAGTTCAAGGCCAGCCAGGGCTACATAAGTGAGTTCAAAGCCAGCCTGAACTGCATAATGAGAGCCTGTCTAAAAAAAAAAAAAAAAAAAAAAAAGTCTATATTCACACACTACTAATTCTACTTATTTTGCGTTTTGTTTTTTAACAAACCACTGGCCATAAAAGCCTTCTTATGACCCCCAGGTCATTGTTCCCCTGCACTGGTCCAAGCTTCTTGCCGTCTTGGCATAGAAAACTGTCCTCAGTGGCCAGAGAGATAGCTCAGCATCATAAGTGCCTGCCTGGCAAGTGCAAGATCCTGAGTTTGATCTCTGGTACCCTCTGTCAAGTGAGCAGAAAGAGAGTTCCTTTGGCTTTCTTGGCCTTGTGTGGCCTCTCCTAGTGGCCATCCTGCCCTCCCCTTCCATTTTCCATGTGTCCTTGTCACACTCCACCGTGGTCCATTAACCCGACAGCCTTCCAGGAAGCCTTGGCTGTTCAGCTGCCTCCCGCTCCTAATGCGTCTCAGACTGCAGCAAGTCAGCACATTCCGGGACTCCCCTGTGCCTGCTGCAGCTCCCCCAACCTTAGGACAGGGGTGTGCACAAGATTGATTCAAGCATGGTCCCGCCACAATGGAAGCAAATGGAGCAGCTCATGTAATTTTGTCTCCCCTTCCCTCCACAGCCTGACCATTTTGTGCAGGACCCTGCAGTACTGAGGGAGCGGGCAGAAGCCAAGCGCATGGCCATCCTTGCCAGGAAGGGGGGGTAAGCATTCAAGGGGCTAACTCTGGTGGGAGGAAACCTTTCCACTGAGGGGACCCACACATAAGCCCTAATTCTTGTGTACTAATGTAGCTCTCATGACAACTCTAGGAAGTAGCAACTATTATTATCCTCATTTTTCAGGTGAAGAAACTCAAGCCCAGGGCTGGGGAGATAGGGCAGTGGTCTGAGCACCTGCCTAGCAAGCACAAGGACCTGGGTTCAATCCCTGGTACCGCATGCCATGCTGGCCTCATGCTGAGCCAGCCACTAAAACCTGGCGTAGTGGTGCACGCCTGTAATCCCAGTGCTAGAGAGGCTAAAACAGGCTGAGCACTATGAGTCTGAGCTGTGTAGCAAGACCCTATACCAAGGGGGGGGGGGGACAGTGATGTTAGGTAAACTGCCAAAGCTCACACACTAAGTGACCACACACAGTGTAGCTACTCAAGAGTCTAAGGCAGATGAACTGCTTGATGCTAGGAGTTTGGGGTCAACCTGGACAACACAGTAAACACTCCTGTAGTTTAAAAAAAAAGATTAAGCTCTGGTCACTCAGCTCAGCTTTGGGGTCCCTCTTGTTCAGAGCTAGCTGATGTCAGGCAGTATATACAGTGAGAGAGAGCCCTGTCAGCCACATGCCCGTTGTGACTGAGAAAAGTATGGTAGAGACATGGAGCACCTAAGATGGGCCTTTAAGGGTGGGAAAGGGGCAGAGGAATTTGTCATGAGTACAGAAAGGCAAGAAAGCACTTGGTCAGGGAGGTCTTTAACAGGTAGCCTGAGACTCCTCTGTCTACCAGCCTCTCTGAGGAAACAACCTGGAGGGCCTGAGAATCTGCCTCAACTTAAGCTAAGCCAGAGTATGAGCCCAGGCACTCATCGTGCGACACATACAGCCTTGCCATGTGGTTACCGGAGACCTCATCAAGAGGCAACGCATTTGATCTCACTCTGAAGACAGTGGAAGAGCCACAAAGGGGTTTTTGTAGAACTGGGGATTGAATCCAGGGCTTTTGCATTGAGCTACATCCCCAGCCCTTTTTTAATTTTGAAGTGGGATCTTGCTGAGTTGCTCAATTATCCAAACTTGTACTCTTCTGCCTTGGCACCCCCAGAGTGCTGGGATTACAGGTGCCATCATGCTGGACAAGAGAGTACAGAGCCACCCTGGCTTCTTATCATCCCAAATCCCTGAGCATGGAGCTCTGTGAAAATCCTAGCAACTGAGATAAGCTAAAAAGAGCCTAGGTAGTGTCTGTGAGTGCATTTGGTCGTTGGAGTCCACCAAGCAAGGGTCTCGGGCACAGAGCAGAAGTGTCACACCTGCACTGGGTGGCCCTGATAGAGAGGGGAAGGTACACATAAGCCCTTCTCTCCATGTGAGCTGTGATCAGCCCTCTAGCTTTGCTCCCCCACAACTTACCAATGGCTCATCCAGAGGCGAGGCTTAAAGAAGAACCAATCCAGGTGGAGGGGCTGACCCGAGTCCCCAACACCTCCCACCTGAAGTTGGGTTATAAGCATCCTGGCACAGGCTGTGTGTGTGTCCTTAGCTCGTGGCAGTCTGTGGGCTCTTCCCAGCAGACCTCTTCCAGCTCATGGCTTCTCTGGGGGTGGGTTGTTGTTCTCTCAGGTACCGGCATGACAGTTCAACAGCAGTAGCTGGCGGGCCCTGGGGCCATGGACAGAGCCGGGAGACAACACAGGAACGCCGGAAGAAGGAAGCCAACAAAGCAACAAGAGCCAACCACAACCGAAGAACCATGGCTGACCGCAAGAGGAGCAAAGGCATGATCCCTTCCTGAGGCCTCCTGTCCAGCTGGCCCTTCGGGGCTCCCAACTTCAATTTCACCCTTCAACAGCCTGAGCTTTGCAGCCCCTAGAAGGTCACCTCATTGCCTCCCAGCCATCCATGAGCACCTTCTTATAGAACACACAGTGCCTTATCCCTTGGCAGAGGAGCCTAAGGGCCAGTGAGGAACCTCCTCTTCCAGATGTGCTGGTGGGAAAGGGCAGGGGTCTGGGTCCCAAGACAAAGCCCCTGGACCTCAGATACCAGACACCACTTCCCTTTACCCCTGGATGGCAGAAAACCACATAAAACCAGGTTTTATGTGTGTTCGGAAACAACACAAGGCCTGCAAATAAAGTTTCTGACCCTTTCCAGCAACGACCTGTGATGTGACGTGACCCAGTCCTATGTCTCATTCTTCAGTGACAGCTGCCAGCTGGAGGACAAGAGGGCAAAGTGGTCCCTGTGCTCTGTGTTGAACTTTCTTCCTTGCTTCTCCATTCAACCCCTCTTCGTGTTGCTCTGCCTTGCTGTGTGACCATGGGCTCATCAGAACCTTCTCAGCCCCCAATACCTGCCCTATGGAAGGAACTGCTTAGGGGTGGGAGGTGTTATGGCCCTTGCCATTGTTGCATTCAGTCCTGATGCCCTGTGCTGTAGGAAGTAGGTACTGTTTTCAGCCCCATAATACAGATAAGCAAAGTGAAACACTGAAGTCTAAGGTATCTTCCCAGACCACAGCCAAGAGCTCGCAAAATTGGGATTGGACAGTCTGACCTGGGATCTTCATGGGTCCTAGACCCCTGTATATGATACTGTCTCCATCTCATAGCTGGCCAAGAACAAGTGGCCAGTGGTAGAGTCAATTCCAGAATTCAGTGCCTCATAGTTGTACATATACTTTATGTAACTCTTCAAAATCCAGTGATTAAGAAACAAGCAAGGATACCCAAGGAAGCTCATGGGAGTTGGACTGATTCGTCAATGCTTTCACCCACGTGTGGCCAATCAGTTGCCAGTGTGGCAACGGCTGCCAGGCCTCTCAGAGTGTCCACTAATCAACACAGATGAGAGGGGACATTTGTTGGGCTGATCTTGGTCCAGCTTGGCCTGGAGCCCATCAGGGGAAGCCAGAGCTCACGTGATGAATCACCCTGGGTGCTAGTGCCATTTGTCTGCGTGTAGTTAGAATAAGCGTGTGAGGCACAGGCAGACAGGCGCTTGATGGATTGGTTATGTTAGGTCAGCCTGCACAAGTGAAAATCAATAGCAATCCCTCTGCGTGTCTTGCCTCTTGGTGTATTTCAGATATGGGGGTGGTGTCCTTCCTGTGGGCTGCAGAATTAGCCGAGGTCAGCCCCAAGCCAGCCATCCTGATGGGCAGCACCATGACTGTTTCCTCCCAAAGCTCCCTTTTGCCAGGACCAAGCTCCTCAGTCACCGCTCTTGCTCGTCCCTGGCAGGAGGCAAGGGCCTTGGGAGCTGGGAACTTTACCTGCCTTACCTGCTTACACAGCTCTTTGCACCTTTACTTTGTCACCTGTGCCTCCAGCCACTTGGAAGAGGGTTCAGTTTTCCCAGGAGCCTCCTGGCTTAAAGGATCTGAAAAGAACGTTTTTAACATTTTTCAGAAAGTAGTGCCAAGCCGAACTTAGGCTCTCTTGAGAAGCTGCTGCTTTCAGCTTCCAGAGCTAAGGGCACCCATTTGGGATGCTTTGAAAACAGCTCAGGGGCCATGCAGAATGGTGCTCGTAAGCACCCCTTTGCCTCAGGCCCTCGGTATGCCATCTGTGAAGTGTGTTGGACCAGACGGATAGTTTCCTCTTGGTGCCAATGAAAGCATGGAAGGAGTTTCCCAGGTTTAATATTGGTGGCTGCAGCATGTTAGGAGTAGGGTCCGTGGGGGCTCTGCCCCTGCCTGTCACTGAATGCCACCACCCTCACTGCTACTCCTATGCAGGTATCCTCTAAGTGCCTTCTCTGTGCCCTGGCAGAGAACATCATTATCATGGATGTTTCCTGGGAAGACTAAGATCTTGTGCCTCAGAGAGCACTTGGGTCCCAGGTGTCTCTATTTCTAGTCCTACAACAGTGCGGGACATGTGCATTGGAACAGAGCTGCTGTGCCACTGTGAAGTGGTGGGGAAGAACTGATTACTGTTTATTAAGAGGGACCCAGGAGTCCTTAGAGGAGGCCTGGGCAGGTCATCTGTCTAGAGCTGGTGGCACATGAATGACAGAGTCTGTGTACATGTCCTTTCTGAGTTGCCTCTTAAAAATAGCCAGGTACAGCTCGGAGGAGGAAATGGTTGGCCAGAGCCTACATGTTGTTGTCACACCAGGAGCTCGGGGGAAATGGTACTGGGAGGCAAACAAAAAACAAATAAAGGTCAGTCCACAGAAAAGAAAGGGGCTGTTATGTAGCCCTTCAAAATGACTTGGTAGCAACATGGGAAGCTAACTTCTTTTTTAAAATAATAAATTTTAATGAATAATAATTTGTGTTCTGTTTAAAAAGCAAAAAAATAAAAATGCTGAAAAAAAAAA